AAGATAGGGCTCGGAGAACGATATATAAGAACGAGCTGGGTTCTTCCTTGAAAGCGGGACAACTTCTTTCTCTCCCTTTTCTTTTTCTGTTTTTATTCCTCATTCTGTTTCCTCAAGAAATTGGGCGTGGTCAAGTAACCGTCCAAATTAAATTATTTGGATAAGAGAATTGTTAGATTAGAGAAGAATCAAGGAGGAACGGTTCTTGTGGTTAAACTTGTTTATTAGAAATGGCTGGCTTTTTACGAACTCAACGAATCTTTCAGCTTGATCACTTTAAGAATCGAACTACAATTGAACCTTCTAAAACATCCACCTGGCATGATCGAACGGGTTCTACTATCCCCAGAGGCCGATCCATCACAGGAAATTGATGTGATTTTGGGACCGGTCAATGGAATTGGTAATTAAGAATAGGTGTGGCTGGATACCTCGTTAAGTCGAATTTGAAGTAGCGGCAAAACAGGTGTGGCTCTGTATAAAGATTGCGTATAGAGATTAGGAACATGATGCATATGAATGTAGATATGTTTGAAACTTAGTATTCGAATGGTACCGAAGAAAGGTATGCTGCATAGTACCATTAAACACATGCATACAAATGTATGAACGCACGTTCGTCACAGATCAATCAATTTCACGCATTTAGGCGACTTGATGTATGGATTACTCAAAGATCCGTCCTTGGAAGAAAACGACGACCTACGCTTTCAATAAGCATACTATAATGATGCCATTTCATTATAAAACAATTTCACATGCGAGAGAAATTACTCAAAGCAGCTTAAAGTATCTTCTTGTGAAAGCGGTATGTTAAACCGATTGTGCAGTAAAATTAATTGAGTATAATAATATCGTATGAAAAATTCATTAAACATTTCTTTCGCTTGTACACTGAAGTTAACAATTAAATTTGCCATGCAGAAAAATTTTCTGATTGATGATGCTTTAAATACTGTGAAACATCGATGTATGAAAATAATGATTCCATTATTCTTGACAGTAAAACAATAGAATAGCCTAATTAGTAATAAATTAGGAGTGTGAAATTCGCAATTATGTCTGGTTTCAGTGAAACAGTTATTTGAAAGTAAAATACGATGATTCTTTTTAATAGAATGTAGTTAAGTCCGTTTCTGTTATTCAGAGATTTTTCTTCATTTCTAATTTATACTTAAAATAGTAGTTTTAATTATAATCATACCTGCCTGATATCAATGCCTTTCCTTCTCACATCTTCTTGTCTCTCTTTCTACTGTATTTCCAACTGCTGGAAAATGGGTCTTCGTGGAGAGTATCGCAGTTCCGCAGTAAAAAGAAAAGCGTCAAATTAACACTTGAAAAGCACAACATCTCGATACGCGAATCGCCAGATCGAATCTGGTTCGGTTCGAGAGAATCGGCAAACAGTGAACATGTAAACGCAGCTGCAGGGCTTTAAGAAAGGGTTCTTCCTCGAAGCGCGAGCAGCAATCATTGATGATGGGATGAAATCGTGGCATGCCACGCCGTGGTGTAACGCTGTAACGCTACGATCCGCGAACGAACTCGGTCGCAGCCTGTACTTAGGTCGCACACACGACGACCGGACGCACCCTCGAGAATTCGCCATTGTGATAGTAATTGCGAGCCTTCACCTTCGATGAGACCAGAAACCGGATTACCCTGTTCGATCCAGATCGAAGATCGTAGTCGTTCTACTGCCTCTCTGCTTGCCCGTGGCTCGAAAGGTCATGGGCAGAGATCCCCGAGATTATCTCTTTGCCTCTGTCTCTTTACTACTGCGATTTATACCTTTCTGTCTTCTAAACGTCTCAACTTAAAGAGTTATTTAAAAATGTATGCCGTTATGATTTCATTTTTCTCTTGCATTTTTATACGAGTATTTATGTTACATCATTTAATGTAGCACCAAAGTTTGTTTTCAGATATATGTTTGAAAAATCGATTATTGAAAATAATATTTATTATAANATTTAAACGTCCGACATGAACAAATGATGAAAAATAAGCTATGAAGAAAATCGAGTTACTGGCCATTTCGATCAGAGCAGAATCGAGCGGCTCGATTCACAGCCGATTCCATCATTTCTTCCGTGGCGGTGTTTTTTACCGATCGCTGCTTTTTCTGCGAGTTTGCGAGGGCGCAAGATAAATGGCCGCGCGGGCATTCTGCCTGCGGCACGCAATCAGCTCGGCACAATACGTTCCTCTGTAAACCGGAATACGTCACAGTTAATGGCCCACCTTGGATCCGTTATCCTGAGGACTCCATTTGGACCCGAGGGGACCGGGAAAGAGAAGGAATGAGAGAAAGAAGGGAACCGTGTCGAGGCGTGCATCCGCGCCAGGAGATTCAAGGGTGCAGCGAGATGTGTGTATGCGGTTGCAGGTTGTGCCGCGCCAGTAAAGGTCGTCGGGAGGCTTCAAGGGGTGAGGAGTTCCCGTCAGTTCCCACACTTCGAGCCTCGCTGCCTCGAGCGCTAGAACCGCATAGGTCAGACGTCTGTGCTCGCCTCCATCATGATCGAATGTAATGTTACACGAGACGAACCCCCAGTGTCTTTGATCGTTTAAGTTCTCACTAACTGATATTTTTGAAAAAGTATCCATGTTTGGTAACACCAACAAAAGTAGTAGAAAAAATAACAAATTTTATTCACTTCAATGATACATGTACATAGAATGTATTAAACATCTAAACATTTTTAAAATATTTTCATAAACAATTTTTATTTGCCTATTTTAAACTTTCTAGCAGTTTTATCAAAGGGTACTCTTAACGTACAACAAAACCAAAAGGTAACAGTTAAATGTTGAACTAAATGACAAATTGAAAATTCAATTGTACCTACTCGTTAAATATATAATAAATAAAAAAAACATTAAAAAATTAAAGAATGTCAGGAAATTGGAGTACAAATAAATACAAACGAACTTAACTAGCTTTTTAAATTTTAAAATTCTCAGAGGAGCTTTAAAAAAGAGAAATGGAGAAGTTTCTTAGGTATAAAAATGCAGTTCTTGAGTCCGGAAGCGAAGGAAAAGAGTAACCGTCGGCGTGGTACGGTGCCTCGTGTAACAGCGTCTGGAAGTAGCTCCGGGTACGGCGCGTGCAGGACGTGATTGTGTCGCAGCGCTCGCCTCTCTCTCCGATCCCTCAGCCTCCGTATACCGTCCTCTTCGTCCGCCACCACTTCTCGCTGTTTCATCCCCTACCACGGTAGGATCCGTGCCTTTTCGCCGTCCGACTTCCTTTTTACTTCTCTTTCGCTTCACCAACGCAACGCCACGATGGAGAGGACGGCTCCCACCGCCTCCGCTCGACCGCAACTACATAGCCTCGGCTCGTGCTGCTCTTGCTGCTCTCGCTGTACCTAGCAAACTCCCATTGACGTAGGTACCAGGGACCTTGCGAAATTGCTGCTGTTCTCCGTTTAAAAATTTTTAATCGACGTTTCAAAAGATAGATTTTCTTGGAAAACGGGAGAACATTTCTTCGTACAATTTATATTTGTTTCATATTATATAGAACGTTTATAAGAAATCATTACGTTCCTTCAATATCAATCATTTTTAACTTTCTATTT